AAAAACAAAAAACAAAAAACAAAACAGCCAACATCCATGAGCTTAGCAGAAGGAGCTGCTTGTTGCTTGAATATAAAGTCTCTTCAGGCTCACGCTGAGCAGAATTTCATCAAAAATGATTACCGACAGGTGTTCCTTCTAGAAAAGACCTACATTATAAATAAATAAAGGAATTGCTTTTCTCGTAGGTAATATGGAGTAACAGTATACTTTCCTGGGTATTGGCGATGTGGGGAGCTGGGTTGAGGGGGGCGGGGGAGAATGGTGAAAGAAGCTCAAAGAAAACAGCTAAATGTCTTTTCCACCCACTCCCAAATTCAGTTTATTTATGGTTCTGTCTGATTTGCCAGCCTACAGATCTTAGCCCTAAAGAGGGAAACCCTTGATAGGTGTGATAAAATTGCAGGGAAAAGTCATGGAACATTAGATCTGGGATGCAGTGGAAAGAGTACGGGCCCTGGAGTCAGCGGGTCTAGCTTCCAATCCCGTCCCTCCGTGGCCTTAGCCAAGTGACCTATCCTCCTTGAGATTCAATTCCTCTACTATGAAAAGAGGAGGTTGGATTAAATGTTTTCCTCAATCCTTCCCAGCTCTAGAGCCATGATCCAGTCCTAACCCCTTATTTTAGAGAGGAGGAAACTGAGGACCAAAGAAAGCATGTGACTTGTCCAGAGCCAGGTAACTGGAGAATGACTGAGCCAGAGTTAGAAACCAAGTCTCCTGACTCACAAAACAGTATGGTTCCCCTCCCTGCCCTGTTCCCCCTTCTATCAAAATTAAGCACAAGGTAATTGACCCTATAATAATAATATCTTACATTTTTATAGAGCCCCAGGGTTTGCAAAGCACTTTACTAGTGCAAAACTACTTTATTAGTTAATCTGAACCCCACAACATCACTGTGAGGGTAGGAGCCCAGAGACCTGTAAAGGCTTCCTTTTGGAGGTGGCAGGAGAGTTTAGCTCTCAAGGAAGCTAAAGATTCAGAAAGGGGAGGTAAGGAGGGCTTTGGGAGTGGGGCAGACTGTTGAGACTTTCATCTGTTCTGTAGCCTACATTTATTTGAGTGAGGGAGAGCTGTGCAAAATCACCAGCCTCACTTTCTCCTCCAGTGTCCTGATATCAATCAGGACGACTGGAGATGACCCAGGATGCAGAGGGAGGCCTTGGCCCATTTATGTTTAGCACTTGAAGGTTTACAAAACACCTTCACAACCGGTTGGGCTGCATGCATCTCTGTAGCTCTGTTTACTGGCCAAACTACCTTTTAAATTCATAAATGGAGGATTCCAGGGGTAATCTTAGTGCATAAAGACATTCCTTTAGGAAAGATAACTGGTTCTGTATTGGACCCTTTAGTCAAATTTATATACACCATCATTGCCATCAGGACTGCCATCTTTAAGTGCAATGGATAATAATAGTTCATAGCATCAGAGGACTTAGAGCTGGAAGGACCATAGAAATTACCCATTCCAACACCTATGTTTTTTCTAGATGAGGAAACTGAGGCCCAGAGAGGTTAAGTGGTGTGGTAGCCAAGCAGTGAATGGTATAGGGCAGTGGTGTCAAACTCATGATAACAGCCAACATTTATATAGCGCTTACTATGTGCCAGGCACTGTTTTAAATGCTTTACAATTATGATCTCATTTTATCCTCACACCAGCCCTGGAAGGTAGGCGCTATTATTATCAACCCCATTTTACAGATGAGGTAACTAAGGCAAACACAGGTTAAAGTGACTTACCCAGGGTCATACAGCTGGTGTCTGAGATCAGATTTGAGCTCAGGTCTTCCTGACTCCTGACCCAGTGCTCTATCTACTATACCACCTAGCTACCTCACATAGAAATAGAAATAGGACCACTAAACCATACATAAGGATCCCTGCAGATTGCATGTTGATTTAGAACACTACACATTAACATTATCTATGTTCTATTGTATTATTATTTATTTGCTAAATATTTTCCAATTTTATTTTAATCTGGTTGGGGCAGCCCTGGGAAGCATTGCCTCCCTGCAGGCAGTGTGTTTGATAACCTCAGGTATGGGGGATAGAGCACCAGATCAAGAAGTCAGGAAGAACTGGATTCAAATTCTGCCCCATGAGGTCACCCTAATTAGTGTTACCTATGTGAGGTATAAGAGATCATGTTTCCACAGATGCAGAGGAAGTGGTCTTAAAGTCAATACAGGTGTGAAAGGAGCGGTTTTACTGAGAATTTTTTTAAAAGTGCTGAAAGTAGAACAAAGGTTACAAATTGCTCAAACTGCGAGTGCTTAAGGAGTCTATGAATATTATCTTCTTCCGAGGTGAGGGGGGGAGGATTAACACAATTTTAGGCACAATATTGTATGTAGAGGGAAGTGGGGAACATGTTAAGGGGTAATATGAAGTACATGTTCTGGGAAGTTGTACACCTCAAAGTATCCAGCCAATGGAGAAACGAGGGAGGGATTTTGCCTTTCGGGACAGGAATATAACTGCTTGCTTTCCCTTCTGTATGGTGTGTCTGTCTCTAGCAGCGCACCCACTTCTTGCAAGAACGTATAATAAATGAGCTTGCCTCATCTACCTCGAGAGTCATTGTTTTTCCTATAGAAGTTATTCATAATACCTATGCAAATCATTTAACCTGTCTAAGCCTCCATTTTCTCATCTGTAAAATGGGAATGATAATAATAGTACCTACCTCATAGGATTGTTGCGGCAATGAATGAGCTCTTATATGTTAAGTGTTTTGAATATCTTAAAGCAGTATAGAAATGTGAGGTGGTAGAAATGGTAGATGGTGGAGCAAAGGATCAAACCTCTTCAGATTTAAAGTCTAGTACTCTCCTTCTCCTTCCCTATGCTGCCAACCAACTTCACAACAATTCATGTTTTGTCATATTGAATCTGCTGCGGAATTTCTTTTAAATCATTTGGAACATGTGGAAAAGAGGGTAATGAATCCGTGGCATTCATGCTATTTTTAAAATGTGGGTTTTCTCGGAGCCTTGACATAAAGAACTTACTGGACTTCATTCTCTTGTAAGGTCCTTTCTTTATGAACTCTTTAGAGTCAGGAATTATCCCCAGACACAGCTTTTTAATAAATTAGTAAGGTTTGCCTATTCAGGGGTAGCCTTATTTCCTAGGATGTTATCTGTCTCTGTACTCTGTTGCTATAGTCACTATAGGGTTTGTTGTGTTTCTCTTTTTGTCCCAAGGAGTTCACCTTGCACTGTTTATTCATCCGTCTAACTGCAAACAGCCACAAGGAGGTTATTTCCTCGCAGTGCTGGGACTAGATGTTTTAGAGACCGCTAGGTGGCTCAGTGGATAGAGCGCTGGGCCTAGTGTCAGGAAGACCTGAGTTCAGATCTGGTCTCAGACACTTATTAGCTGTGTGACCCTGGGCAAGTCACCCCCCCCCTCCAAAAAAAGGGAATGGCCAACCACTCTAGTATCTTTGCCAAGAAAATCCCAAATGGGGTAAAAAAGAGTCAGATGTGACCAGTTGACCAAACAACAACAACAAAAGGCACCTTCAGGATCTTCCAAACCAAGTTCCAGATTCCATCCTGGAAAGCGCTGATTGATCAGATAATATTCCTGGCCAACAATATGGAAGTCAATAACCCATCTACATCAAGAGTGGCACATAAAATGATTGGAATGAGTTCCCATAGTCCATCCCTGAAACTGCCTAGCTGTAGGACCCTGGGCAGCTCACTTAATCTCTGAGGCTTAGTTTTCTTTTTTTTCTTTTTCTTTTTTAAAACTTTTTTAATTAATTTATTTTGATTTATCAACAATCACTTCCATATGCTTTTGAGTTTAAAATTTTTCTCCTCCTTCCTCCCCACCACCCTCCCCAAGATGGCAAACAATCTGATATAGGCTATACATATACATTCCTATTAATGAGGCTTAGTTTTCTCATTTGCAAAATGGAATAATAATAGTAGTGGCAGCTAGCTTACTACGTAATATACTTACTATTAAGTATAATGCTTACTACGTGTGTGCCAGGCACTGTGTTAAATGCTTTACAATTATTATCTCATTTGATCCTCAGAACAACCCTGGGAGGTAGATGCTATTTTTTCCCATTTTACAGATAAGGAAACTGAGGCAGTTAAGCAACTTGCCAAGGGTCACACAGCTAGTACAGTATCTTAGGCTGGATTTGAAGTCTTCCAGACTTCAGGCCTGACACTCTACCTACTGTGCCACAGCCACCTCTGCACAAGACTGTTGAGGTGTTTAGTAAATCTTCAAGTACTATACCTGTGAGTTGTTCACTGTTGTTATAACATCATCATTTCTCTTACCAACAGCATCATCATCATTATACTAAGCAGAAGATGCCTAGGAATATGGGGGCATAACTAGTGGACAAGAGGGAAAGGACGCACGCCTCTGGGAATAGCCTCAAAGGAGTGATAACCCACAGATATGTCTAGGCCGCATTATGCACCTTACACCAGGCTCCCCTCTAGCCCAGAATAATTTTAGAAGCTAAGGTTTTCCAGGCATTTGGTATACTCCCCCTTCTATATCCTGCCTTCATTCTATCCTCTATGATGTGCTGCCTCTCTGGATCATTATATTATTAATAAGTTTTACAAGTGCGTTTACATGCAGCAACTCTGTGAAGTGGATAATGAAAGTTATTACCCCAGTTTTATGGATAAGGAAACGGAGGCTCCGAGAGATTGAGTGACTTGTCAAGGACCACATAGCTACTAAGTGTCAGAGCTTGGGATTGGAACCCAAGTCTCTCTGGATGCTGTGGCCAGTGTTCTTTCCAGTGAACCATGATATAGTAAGATATGTAAGCTACCCATTGTATCTCTGAAACAAGTTTTATGGAGCCTAGAGTCTCAAATAATGCTTATAGTAGAACATCTCTTACTGAGTCCCAGGAGCTAATCTATAATGGTCTGGTTTTATTTATTTATTTATTTATTTTTAAGCTAATATGATTTTCTATGCATTTTTTGCAGACACAAGTCACCAGGCTCGTTTGTTATCCAGTCGGCCTTGCTACACACTGCCTGCCAGTAGTCATGATCGACGCTCTATCCTGGCGATTACTGAGCCCCCACGTTTCCACCCCCAGGCCAAAGGCAAGAATGTACGCCTGGATTCCCATTCCCGCAAGGCTACCCGAAGGAACAGTTTCTGCAATGGGGTCACATTCACCAACAGACCCATCCACCTTTATGAGAAAGTCCGACTTAAACTGGTGGCTGTGCACCATGGATGGAGTGGGGCACTGCGTTTTGGCTTCACCATCCATGACCCATCCCAGATGAACTCTGACGACATACCAAAGTACGCCTGTCCGGACCTGGTGACTAGGCCAGGCTACTGGGCCAAAGCTTTGCCAGAGAGATTTGCACTGAGGGACAATGTTCTGGCCTATTGGGTCGACCGCCACGGGAGAGTGTTTTATAGCATCAATGACGAGGACCCAATACTGTTTCACTGTGGCATTAAAGTCTCTGGACCCCTTTGGGCCCTCATAGATGTTTATGGAATTACCCATGAAGTGCAGATTCTAGGTAGGTAACACTTTATGCTCATGACTAGCTGTATATTTAAGTAACATCATTTATATTTTTAATCTTGTTTTTGATCAGGACTTCATTATTTCATCACACCGGGAACTTCTGGTGTAAAAACCTTTTCCACTGAGATTCTCAACTCATCTGCAATGGAACAGCATTAGGGAATTGCCTGGTGTACTAAGAGGGTATGCAATTTGCTGAGGGAAACACAGCTACTTATATGTCCATGGTGGAACTTGAACCCAAGCCTTCCTGTCTCTGAAGCTAGCTTTTTGTCTACTGTGTCATGTTGCTTTGCATTATTAATATATCCTATATAGGAATACATACTCTGACTTCAGATCATATTTTAAATTTACACAGCATATGACCCTGGGCAAGTCACTTAACCCCAATTGCCTAAATAAATAAATAGATTTACACAGCATGCTCTCCCTCCATTCTCTTATCTATAGGTGGGACTATGGGCTTCTGTCAATGACCATAAAATAATTCACCACAATGAGAAGGGAGGAAGAAGAACTCCATGGACAAATTAGAACGGTTAAATGCAGTATTTCCCCCTTTTTTGCACCTCTTTCAGAAACAGTATTGAGTTTTTCATCTGCAAGGTTCCACCTCTGCACTTTGTATGTAGAAAGCAATTCTCTTTTCAAAGAGAAAGAGTGGACTACTCTCCCTTCCATGTCCCCATATAGGGCCAAGGACTAGGTAGAAAGCCTGCATTACAGCCTGAATACAAGTCTTTGGCCAGATCCTATCTACCAATTTACAAAAGGCCCAAGGCTATGATGTGGGAGAAAATCCCCAAGTGCGGCTTAGGCTAGCTGAGCTATGAATGGCTAAGACCTATAGTCCAAATCTCAAATAAATGCAGGATTCTATGAGTCCAAAATTTGGAGAAACTTCTTTGGTTTTACTCTTCAAACCAAAACTAAAATGCCTCAGAGGAATAAGACAAGTCTTTGTTTGACTTAAGTATATCCTCACTGTAAGTAGCCCCTTATTTTCTTGAATTTGGGGGTCTGTACCATCTCATTTGTGGGTTTCTATTATATAATGATAAGAGGCAACTAGGTGGTGCAGTGGATGGGTCACCAGGCCTGGAGTCAGGAAGACCCAAGTTCAAATCCAGCCTGGGACACTTACTAGCTGTGCAATCTATGTAAGTCACTACCCCCCATTTATCTGTTTCCTCATCTGCAAAATGGGAATAATAATAGCACCTGCCTCCCAGGGTTGTTGGGAGGAAATGAGATTCTATACATACATACATGTATACATACATACATACATACATGAAATGTTTTATAAACTTGAAAGCTAACATAATAAATGCTAGCTATCATTACACTAATAGTTTACAAAGCATTTTATATATATTCTACCTGAGCTTCAGAAAATCGTTCAGGAACACAATGCAGATTGTTGCCATTCTCATTTTATCAATGAGGAAACTGAGACTCAAAGATGAAATGACTTTTGCACATAGTACCGCAGGTTGAAAGTGATGGTCTTGGGTTAGAACCCACATCTTCTGGTTGCATATCCAGCTGTCTTTCTACCATATTTTCCACAACTATCTTCCTGGAATATCATTTTCTGTTGTCACAAAATGGTTTTAATCTGTCTAGGAAGGTCTTAAGGCCGGTAATACTTGGAGTTACAGAGGGAGGGCAGTGGAATTGTGCTGCCGTTTGTTTTTTCCCAGTTCTCCTTGATGGGAAATGGGGCCCCAGAAAAGTTAAAGGTTTAAAGTTCTTTCTCCTCTTTCGTCTGACCTCTTGTTTGGGAAGCCACAGCATTATCTCGTATCTTCTCTGGGGGCCATTTTGGAGTCTCTCACATTACGTTCCAGCATTATCAAAGATGCAGCATTGATGGGGACTGTCCTTCTTATCAGTGACCCCAGAAGCCAACAGTGTCAAAATCACTTGCTTGAGATCAGGGGATATTTTCTTCAATCCTTCATTTTTCCCTATTGGAAGAAAATTCTAGTTAGGGAAAAAGAGCTGAAATCTTTCAGCTTTGGTCATTTGCTTGGCATCACAGATGTCTTGGGAGTAACCACTCACATTGTCGCCCAGCCTAGATTGCCATGAGACAGTCTGTCAGTATGTGCTTGATTATATAATAGTTGCTTTAAAAATACTTAGTAGTCAAACAATTGATTAGTGCCCCTGTGTCCCAGGCAAGGAGAAAAGACTATTGGCTTCCTTCGACTACCAGAGAGACCTCAAATGAGAAAAAATATGGGTTTTTAAAAAAGAAAATATAGTATTTGCTATTAGATTTTATATTTACAAGCAGGATTTTGTCAAGGTGTTTGGGTATTTTTCTTGTACTGTAACCTGAAGTTTTATTTCTTTTCCAAAGTGAGGAACAGAGCAGCAATAGTGTGAGAGTAAATGGGAGAGATAGGTAACGTAGTGGATGGCAAACTGAATCCAAATTATTTCGAAAGGCTAGAATGATGGACCAAATCTATTGAAATGTCATTGAATGGAAATATATATAAAGTCCTGTTTAAACGTCAAACTATGAAATGTGAAAGTACCGGGTAAGGATGCCACGTATAACTACTGAGGGATTCTTGCAAAAAAGACATGGGGGTCTCAGCAAAGTTGCAAATCCCTGCCAAGGCAACAGTGCGACATAGCAGCTAAAATGACTAATGTGATTTTAGGGAGTATCATAGAAGGATGTTGTCCAAAACAAAGTGGGTAATAGCTCCATTGTCCTCAGCCTTGGTCAGGCCATATCTGAAGTATGTGGTCAGTTCAGGGCACAGAGTCTTCAGTTGGACATCGACAAGCCAGAGTACATTTGAAAGAGGGTGGCCAGAAGGGTGAAGACGCTGGCAACTGCTTTACCAGGATCCACAGGTGATGTTTATCCTGGACAAGAAGATCTGAGGGGAGGTAGCTAGTCCATGACCACCGCCATCACTGAGGGATATCATGTGGAAACGTTTTTCTGCTTGGACCTGAGGACAATACTAGAAATGAGGCCTAGGAGCTGTAGAAAGACAGATTTGACTTGATAAAAGGAAATATTTCTTAGTGGCTAGAGCAATCCAAAAATGGAATTTACTGCCTTGTGAAGTAGTAAGTTCTCCATTACTGGAAATCTTCAAGCAGTGCCTGGACAATGTCTTGTCAAGGATGCTGTAGGGAGGAGAGGTAGGCTCCTGTCCAGGTATAGGATTTGGAACTCTGAAGTTCTAAGACTTCTGCTTAGGAGATTGACTTCCCGGAAATGTGCATGACATGGTTTACAGAGGTGTTAAAAAGGGACAGCTTTAGACAAAGCTTACCTTCTACAGCAGTGGTCTCTAATTATTTTTGATTGTATTGTTCTATCAATAAAACATTTTTGAGCATGCACCACTAATACCTCTATAATTACTTTTTTATGCCTACATATATGTTTGCTTATAAATTATATGCATGTGCTACTGTACTACTAATTATGTGCAATGCACAATTTGTATTAAAAGTAGACTTTTAAAAGGATAAAATAAAGATGAAATAATATTTGATGCTAGAAATAATAAGAACCACAGTATATTGAAAGGGGAAGGTATGGCATGGTCAGACTTGTGCTTCAGGAAATTCACTTTCCTGGCATCTGAGTGAAGGATGGAGAGATGAGGATGCTATTGCAATATTCCAAATGAGAGGTGATAATGATCTGAACTGCAGTGCTGGCTATTTCAGCATAAAGAATGAGAAATTGTAGAGATGTGGAGGCAGAAATTTGGCTACTGAATGCATATGCCCAGAAATGGCATTAGGGAAAATGAGGAGTAGAAGATGACACCATCCTCAGTAACTAGAGAGATAGTGGGGCCCTCAGCTCTAATGGGGAAGATGGGTAGGTCGAGGAGGAAAAATATTGTAATGAGATCTTCCATCCAAATCACAAGACATTCATGGCTGCTCATCCTTTGTATCTTACTTTCTCCTACCCAAAATGAAAAGCAGAGAGGTTGGGGCCTTGCCAGTCATATCCCAGAAAACAGAGCTTGCTCTCCCAGAATTGCCTGCTGTGGCCACAAGGTCATCTGGGGAGCAGGGATGGGTATGCTGGGGGACAGGAATTTTCCCAATGGCACCGTGTAGCTGCTGTAATGGATGCCCAGATAGGGATTAGGTTGTAACTGCTCTTAAGGACTGACCTCCAACATAGAAAAGGATGAGGTTGTATAGTGCAGGGAGTTGGCAAAGTGGAAGAATCTTGGTGGATAATGGTAGATATGGTTGTATTAGAGACAAGCCATAGGATTGGCTATCATAATGCAGATGGGATGTTACCTATCTTCCCACCCTCCAAATGACAGAGCATGCCCTCCTTGGGATAGGGCCATATCCCCACCAATGAGTCCCTTGAACCCCACTTTGGAGACCATACTTGTAGTGGCCTTTCCTGTCACATACACACTCACTCTTTGGTGCCCAGTGTCTGTATGTTGATCCCTAACTTCCAGATCCCCACTGTTGGCCCCAAGTTTCTCCCTCCACACCCTTTCTGCCCTTCAAGAATAGAGATCTGCAGACCAACTAACTGTCATTTGGAAAGGCTCAAAAGAGCCACCACCCTTCTGGTAATAATATGGTACCTCCCTCAGAGATACTTGCATATTTACCTTAACCCAGAGGAACAAATAAGCGAAATAATATATGATATGATATGATATGATATGGTATGATATGATATGATATGATATGATATGATACAGTTTGGGAGGGAGGATACTAGCAGTTGGGGGATCAGGAAAGGTTTTACTCAGAAGATGGGGCTTGAACTGCACGTTAAAGAATGAAAGGGTTTCCATGAGGTAGAGGTAGGGAATGTGGGACAACCACTGTAAAATTAGGGAAACAGGAGATGGAGTGTCCAGTGTGAGGAACAGAAAGGGGGACAATTTAGGTGGATCATAGAATGTAGGAGGGGCAGTAAGTCCAATGAGGCTGGACAGATAGTCAGGGGTC